AATTATAAAGTGAGAAATTATTTATTCCTGTGTAATTGATTTAACACAATTCTAATGATACGATATAAGTATTTTGAGGTTAAGAACGTACCTGCTGCAATACAACAAAGTTGCAATAATGTGTTTGCAACGTTCTCTTAAATCGGCTTTGCACGTGCAAGTTATTAATATGATATTGCTTAAATCACCCAGAATCACCTCACCAATTATATAACGTGAATCACTTTTTAAATCCGAAGTTGTAAAATGTAGGCAGTAAACTTGACGGAATTTGAAGGCTAGCTTCCGGATTTGTTATTTCCGAATTTCCTTTCCGAGGCTTTGTGTCAGCCCAATCACATATTGTGTCAATACTTATCATTTTATAGTAAATTAAAAACTTGGAAACTGCACGGTACACTTTAGGAACTACGATAAATTTTCCCTAATCGGCGCCATGTTTTTAGGCTCGTCCCATTTGGCGGATCCCAATACCTTATTACGTTTCGTTTGTAAAAATAAAAAGGATGGTGAAGGAAATATTCGCATAATTATTTTGCCTGCGCTCCCTTCCTCTGTTAAGAGGAGTAATAGAAAGTTGTATTTCCGTTTAATTATAAACACAAATATTTCTACCTTAAACTTTTGTTAATCTTACGAAATTAAAATAACTCGGTTATTAAAATTTTTGAATAACATCTTGAGACGTATTAAACAGACGGCAGTATAGATCCAGTGCTTCTAGTGAGTATGATCCGAATATAAATTGAATTTGCTTACCTCTTATGTCCACAGATTAACATATGATGATGGTCTATCCTAGATTTGACCAACGCTTTTCAACAAACCCCGAAATCCATTTCAGGACAATCTAAAACATACCATAGCCTAGCCTTCAAGAAGTGCATATTATAAAAATAGAAATTATTGCAATTGAAAAAGAAATGATTTATTAGATTATGGTAAGCTTGGATTGTCCTGATTTAAAAAGCGTTGGTCAAACCTAAAATAGACCAGTCATCCTGCGGTGCATCTACATATCGGCTTTTGATTCTAACATTTACATAAAATATAGGTACAATTTATAATATAAATTGACTGGCCCGAGTATTTTTCTAAAAAATTTGTGACAAAATTGCTAACCAATGTATTCCACATAAGTGCATTTATCAGTAAAACAGGATGATACGTTCGCTGCACTATTTATTTGGGGCAGCATTCACCAGGGGTGTAAGACTGATAAAAAGCTCATGAGTAACGGATTGCCAGAATCAGGTGACGCCAGCAAAAAGAAACTAGCACAGAAATTCAATTGGGGGTTAAAAATTCGAACCCAATTTTGATTAGCATTTCAGAGCTTTTTTTTAACCTGTCACTAGTTGCTGCTTGGAAAAGCCAGCGTACCGCTCAAATTTTAAAGGGCATGCTTTGTTTTTCGGGCAAGTAAGAGCAAGTTCTAAGACCCCACCACTACTGTGTTTATTCTTGCTTCACCTAATTATACAGCGTTGAGAACTTTTTTTATGTTACCGTCATCTCGTGTTTCTTTACTAGTCTCTCTTCTCTGGCGACACTAGTTATCTCAGAACTCAGGAATCATTCAGTCTTTTTCAAGAAAATCGGTGAGAAGCAACCTGAACTAACCATAATCTAACCTTCAACGGGTTCATATTAAAAAGAAAAATGTACTAAACAGAAATAAATAAACATACATTAAGATGAAAAAATAGTGATGTATGGGCCCAAAACAATAAACAGATGCTAGCATTCTTACCACTGGCCCACAATGCCTTTTTTTGTTTTTGAGGGAAACCTTCAAAAGACACCCAGCCGTCCGTACGACTGGATAGTATTAGATTTACTCTGAGGAGCGCCTACAAACTAAAACCCCTTTACCTCAGGCCGTTATAGGACCTATTAATCCTTTACTACGAAAAGGACAAGAAACATCTAGAGAGAGTCCAATTACTGGTCCGAAAGTTCACAGTTTTTGAGAAAAACGTATTTGACAGTACAGACAGGGACCGGACCGAGACAAAAATAGGAATACGCAACGCCGCATTTAATGAACTAATAATTAAGGGTATCAGTCATTGACATTACGTCAATGTATCAGTGCAGAACAGTTGTTACTCCTTCTCTTAAAGTTAGTTGTTATTGTTTGGTGTTATGAATTGTCGATATAAGAAGCCATTCAGGGGGGAAGAGGGGAGGTTGGAAAGATTTACTCTAACTACTAAAATATATTATCATTTTCGGCAAGCGTAAGCCTTGCTGGAAACCGATTTTCAAGCCAGTCGACTTGTCCCAAAAAGGCTGCAGAGCTCAATTTTTTTCATAGAGTGATTTTTTCATGAGAACATGAGAAATATTTTTGGCAAGCAAAATTTTTGTAGTTTACGTATGTTTGTTAACTAGTATTGTTCCTTGGAACCACTAACTCGTTGATATACGATAAACAAGTTCTTTATGTTTACTTCAGGTGTTAGACAACCCCAGCATTGTTTAGTTTAGATTCCAACCATGTGGGGTGCTCAGTTATCGCAATTAACAAATAACTAACCTACGTTGCTAAATCACCCATGGCGGGCTTCGGATTGTCGCTTGTCGTTTCTTACATTGATTTTATCCCTTAATCACACTGCTGTACTCACCATGCGACACCTTATTACACCTAGTTGACACCCTCCACAACTATTTCAAAAACACCCTGTATACATACATCATTCTTTTGGTAGATATACGTATGATTGGTCCATGTTTTTGATAAATATTTCATGTAACATGCAACTCATATCCAGCAAAACCATTATGGTGTAAATTTTTTAAAATCACTTATGTACGTACCATTAACTGCACCCATATACTACATTAATTATCTAACATTTAAAAAATAGCAATAACCTTATCAATTAAATAATATATTTTATTAAATTAAAAGTAAAGTGTAAATTATGATTTTTTACATAAATTATCTACATAAGATGTAAACTTTCTCATACTTTTGGGTTGTTTCTTGAGGTAACCATTGTTAAAATCAGTTGCAGATATTACTTTACTTCCAGCAATTTTAACTCCACCAACACTTATCCACTTTCCATCTTGACACTTTACTAACAGTTTAGAAATGTTTTTATTATACTGTACACCCCCAATTTCAAAATCATCATCATTTACTGGTGTGCCATATTCATTTATGTCCAACAGTTTTATCAACTGTTTATTCCATACTGCTACCAAATCATAAACCTTAACCAAGGCACTAGAAATATTGCAAATTTTTTCTGATGGCATAGTTTCCCAATTTATATATGACATTACAGGTGCCACTTTAGGTGCTATAACAATATATTTATTATTCAACAATTATTAATACTATCAAACAATAATATACATATTACCATATGTAGCATTCTCAGTTGGCTGTGGTCTTGCCGACTTCACATAGCGTGATAAATCATTAAGTACTTCTGCAAGAGCTTCTGCTCCAAGATGACCTAGTTTATTATGCAACTGAATGGCATTAATTCCTCGTTCCAAAGGAATTTCTTTCTGATGAAGTATATCACCCACATCAAAGTGGTATGGTTTTATTTTCATAATAGTAACACCTGTCATTTGATCACCATTAGCAATGGCATGAATAATTGGGGCAGCTCCTCTCCACCTTGGTAAGAGACTCGCATGAACGTTTAAAATACCTCTAAAAGAGGTATGCCAATTTCACATGAAATTACTTCTTCCTTAATTTCTTACAAAGAAAACTTATTTATTACGCTTTCTGGTATCAGTTTACCAAATGAAACTACTATTCCAAAGTCAAAGTCACCGGACTTTAAAGACCTTAAAGGCCATTTGTGATACTTAAGGTTGCGTTCTAAAGCGAACTGTTTTACTACATCCTTAGACCACATTTTAACTGATGTGACTACCTCCAAATTCTTAACTAGCGGCTTACATTTCCTGAAAATGTATTGTTACTCTTAGTGATTCAAACAATTGTCTTAGTACAAAATACTTACTGATCATCACTTAACATTTTTAGAGTATAAAGAGAAAAACTATCATTACCGAAAAATAAAATTTTCCATGGAGGTTTTAAATCTGATCCATAACAAAAAAAACGACATGTACGAAATCTTTTGTTTGCTGTAATAATCTTGCATTCCCTTAAAATCATCATTGCCATCATTGCATCTATTGTCATATTATTATAATTATTATTATTAGTCTGTGATTATTATCATTATTATACTGACCATAGATAAATACTAACCTTGAAGATCATGATGACTAACCTATCTATGGACTGACCATTAACCTAAACATGATTTTAAACTATTTATCATAGATAATGTATGGTAATACTTCACCATTGTACTTCACAGTCATAAACACAGCATAGACATATATTAATGGACGTGCCTTAGCCGTATGTCGTTGTAATAATTTCTTGTCTCGAAAAGTGAGAGAGGTGGCGTATGGTTTCGGACTAGTGCTATCTTACGCACTATCGTAAGAGAGATGGATATTGTCCGAAACTTCGTTCCATCTCTTTCTTTTGCTGTACCACAATTCTGACCGCTAAGGCATATCCATTAATAAACGTCGATGAAACACAGTATGGTGTAATGGGTGTGACATCTAGAATTAAATCATTTAAAAGTTTATCTAGACTATCGACGTTTACTAATGGACATGCCTTAGCGGTCAGAATTGTGGTACAACAAAAGAAAGAAATGGAACGAAGTTTCGGACAGTATCTGTCTCTCTCACGTAGTACCGTACTTCAGAGAAATTTTCTCAAACGCTTCAAATAAATTTTAAAATTACGATTATGAAGTTAAGAGATAGTTGACAAAAATAAATTTTTGAATAGTAAATTAATTGATTTTCATAATGATTTAATATGATTTTTAATATGACGAGTATGGTTAGGTATGACATGAAGTATTGAGTATGACCTAGAACAACTTCGAGCATAGATAATAGATACACAAGATAATAGATACACAAAGAATAGAAAATTGGTTAGTATGTGGATGTTATATTGTGAAGCATTGAGAATGTTGTGAAGTCTACAATCCCCAAGAGGATTTTTTTCAAGCGATGTAATCTTAAAAAATATTTTAGTGGAAAGGCAAAACGAACATCATGTCCAATTTTTTCGAAAAATTTTTCAATAAGGTTCAATTTGAAATTTACTCTTAATTTTCGGCCTTTTAAGTGCAAAATATTTCAAAAATATATATGTATACAATATGACATTGTTAAACAACAACATATATGTTTTAATATATTATATTCTTACCTAGACAAGAAACTATTAAATTTTCAATATTGTACTAGTAGTAGGTTTAGGAAAATGTCTGTTTTAAGGGTAAGCTTATTATTTTACTACTTAAGAATGCATAGAAATTTTTGTTCATGAAAATAAAACATTTTAATGTGGTGTCTGCCAAAGACTATTCAAAAGAACAAATAGAAAGAACACATGCAAACCTGTTTGGTTGAGAAGCGCTTCAAATGTGAAGCTTGTAGAAAAAGCTTTACACGAAAGAATCATTTAAATGATCACCTGAAACTTCATTTTGGCGAGAAGCCATTCAAATGCAGTATCTGCGAAATATGCTTCGCTCGGAAGAATACATTGAAGCAGCACATGCAAACTCATTTGAATGAGAAGCCGTTCAAATGCAATGTTTGCGATAGATGTTTCGTCCGGAAATGTACTTTGGATCAACACATGCAAATTCATTTAGGAGAAAGGCCATTCAAATGCAAAGCCTGCAAAAAAAGCTTCACACGAAAAGATAGTTTAAATGTTCATATGATAATTCATCTTGGCAAGAAGCCTTTCAAATGCGAAACCTGTAAAAAAAGCTTCACACGAAAGGATCATTTAAATGTTCACATAAATACCCATTTTGGGGAGAAGCTGTTCAAATGTAGTATCTGCGAAAAATGCTTCTCTTCTAAAACCACTTTGAATAAACACATGCAAACTCATTCAGTTGAGAAGCGATTCAGATGTGAAGTTTGCAAAAAAAGCTTCACATGAAAAGAGTACTTAAGTGTTCACATGAAAACACATTCTGGCGCGAAATCGTTCAAATGCGAAACCTGCAAAAAAACCTTCACACGAAAAGATTATTTAAATGCTCACATGAAAACCCATTTGAATGAGAAGACCTTGAAATGTGATATATGTAGCAATCAGTTCAGGTACAAGTCTCAATTAAAACAGCATCTAAAAGAGCACATTACTCCTAAAAAAGAATTTAAAGTTTTCTGTAAATGTAACATATGCAAAAAAGAGTCTAACTTCAAGTCTTCACTGAATGAACATATGAAGATACATACTAATTTGAGATGTTCACTTTGCACTGGGTCAACAAAAGAATGTGTCTGCTCCAAAAACCTTGGAGATAATAAGACTAATCCTCTAGTTAGAGATACTTTTATGTTTGAGTGTCAAACATGTTTCCAAACGGTCTTTTGTAAATTTCAACTGAAATTGCATTTGCAAATACATTGCGATTTAAAATGTGTAGTTTGTAAGGAGGATTACAGGAGTTGCAGTTGTTCTGACTATTTTTCTGCTATAGAAAAATCAAAATGCANAAAATGAAACTCATAAATATAATTCGCGGAATAAATTCGCAAATGATATCCAATCGGTGATTAAAGTATCTAAAAATACGTTAAATCAGATTAAGATATTATAAACTCTAAAAATGAATACTTACAAATGATTCAGTAAACTTAAAGACACTCCAAAAAGCATATGAATTATACCAAAAATTATGGAAATCTTCATTTTGTAAGAATTATGGAATATAATTTTATTCTGAGCGAACTGCCAAACAGGATCCATTCCGAAGACATACGGAACTCCCTCGTAATCGTTTGTTGAAGGACTGAGCATTAATACTTTTTCCTTGTTCATTTTTTCTAAAGAGATATTGTTAACGGTCCATTTTGATCCGAAAACGTTTATAGACTTAGAAAATATATCGTTGTAGATAAAGCCAGTGTACATTGAGAAAACTCCCATTAAGAATATAACGTAACGACCGCCAAAGAATATGTTCCATATCTGGAATTAAAAATATATGATAAAGACGCAATTAGAATTAAAATTGTCCACAAAATGTTTTCTTAAAGGAATTTAAAATAGTGAATGTCGCATATTTCGAAACAAGCTCACCTCATTATCTGTTTTTTTGGCTGCCAGTGGCTTCTCTTTAAAAATCATCCACGCTGCAAACAATGCCATAACCATACCATGGCCCAAATCGCCAAACATTACCGCAAAAAGAAAAGGAAATGTAATTATTGTATACGGTGCTGGATTCATCTCTCTATAAGAAGCTATTCCATATGAATCGATAAGCGCCTGAAAAGCGCTCGTGAATTTGTTGGTATGATTGTATGTCGGTGGATTTTCACATGTCTCCATTCGATTTAATATTGGCGGAACGGAACTACCACTTCGTTCCTGTTGAAAATTTAAACATTAGAAATTGGCATAAACGTTTTTAAATAAATTTCTACTTTATTTTGTCCAAATATTAAAATGAATAACATTATTGTTTTGAAGTATCAACTGAAAATATATTAAGAAATTGCTAGACCTCCGCCACAAATTTAAATATTAAATACAAAACGTTAACAAAAAAAGATGTTAATAAAGCTCATTAAAAAAGTAAAATAAAAAATGCTTCGATTCTTTTACTCTCTTCTCAATATTGTGTGATATTTTAAATAAAATATGTACCGTGCCCCGTCGAAGAGCAAGTTGTATATTTTCCAAGTCCAAAACTGGTACCCAACATTCAGCTATCAGACATTTCTGAGTTACGTCCAAATTAAAAAGATTAAGGGTATGGTAAATGGCCTTTATTTTTCGGACCTTAACAAACCAGTTTTTAATATTTTTCGCAGCAGCTACTAGAACGCGATGTCTATGATCTTGTGTTTGACCCAAAACCTAGAATAAATAAATAAAAAATAAGTAACACTAAGCCCAATGTAAAGAAAATTTTAATGGCATACTACAATTAAAACGACCAGATAATTTTCTTCACTTAAGAAAAACACTTGCGTCTTTCATTCCCACCAGCACTAACCTTGTAGGCGTAGTCCCTTCAACCTACACTCTAGAGTAAAGCTGGAGAGTAGGATGGAGATGAAATAGTGGGAATGGGGGAAGGTGGTTGGTGAGAGATAAGGGCTTTTAAAGCGAAATGACAGATTATCTCTAGAATATTACTGCCCCAGTGATTGTCTTAATGACCCAAAGAAACTACAGAAAAACTTGGACTAAGGCAATGCTAAAAGCTATGGTCTAGATCTCTAGGTCATGCCGCTAAGTCAGTTAGAATAGAACAATAAAGGCATAATAAGTATTATCACGTTACCCCTCGTAGGCCATAGTGCTTACGAGTGACGTCAACGCTAGTCGACCGAGCGGTCTTGCCGGTCCAGCTGGCAGCAAACGACAGTGGATATTCCAAAATTCGAATATTGTGATTATTTAAAGACTTTCAGTTTGAAAATCTTGTCAGGCTTCAATAGAACATTTCATTGCATTTGGTAAAAATGTTTATAAAGAGAAAAACCATTTTTTTTAGTAAATACTAGCATATAGATATACAATATCCCCAAATTTCTAAAAAGCGAACTGAAAGAATCCCGGTTTTTTCTGACTTTCTTATTTTTACTGCAATAATTTCTAAGAAGAGTATTTGTAGTACATTTTACAATTACGTTTATAATACTGTCACTAATATGATCTGTACACCCGTTAAAAGAACGCAGGGAAATCATATCACAAATCGCTTTGAAAACACATTTACAGAGAAACCGACGCTTATTATTAACGCTTAAACAAAATCTTCTTCATAGTCGATAAGAAACTAATGAAAACGAAACGATTTCAACTACAAAATCTTTAGGAAAAGGCAAGGTTCCCCTACTTAAATTTTTTATTAATGAATAACCAACGGGCAAGGTGAAAAAAAACGAATTAGTTTTAACAGCAAGATTTAAATTGGGAAGTAAGAGCAGGATGACAAAGAACTGGGAAGAAGAAGAAGAAAAGAAAATGTGTAGGTTGTGTAAATTGGAACCAGAAACGATTGAACACATTTTTGACAGATGTTGAGTAAAGGGAAATAAAGTAAAGTAATTGGAAAATCAAAAGGAAAGAAAGGATGGTCTAAAAAGAACGGAGAAGGCAAATGCCAATCAACGATAAGTTCATCATGCACTAAATTTTGCCTACAAATATTGCATTTTGTATCCTTTCTAAAGCAACATAACAACAGTAACCTGATAGGTACTTAACAACAGGCAAGTCATTTATAAGCATGTCTAAATCTAATTCAACAAGTATGTCAAGATTAAATATGTTATTATCGCATGAATCGCCAGCCTTCAATATTTTCATGGAATTGTATTACTTGTAAATACCCATACATGCGAGATTTCAGCGTTGAGATCGATTGTATCCTCTGTTTTTCATATAGCTCTCGTTGAAATATGGTACTGCCAACCAGAAAGGTGACGGTATTTTCCGAACCTACATCAGTTTGAAATTTACCTAATAAAACGTAATTCATTTTTAACTCGTTAGAACAATCACTCGAAATCTCCAGTAATCCACGCACGGTATGTAGAAAGCTGTATGAGTTTGACAAATTAATTAAATTTTCGAAAGAAAGCGATTTCCATGCGTCTACCCAATCATGCAATTTATTTGAAAATGTAATTTTGATGTCGTTAGCAAAATTTTTTGCCGTATTGGGCTCTTTATAGTCATCATTTAAACGCTTTCCTTTTAGAGGGTGCTTTACATTGACAATTTTCCACCAAGTTAAGATTATTTGGATAAAATAAGCAGCATCTTTAGAATGATTAATATTATATCCAAATTTAAGCAAAGCCTGCATTACAAAAGGACTGAAAAGTTTTAGAGTCAAAGAAACGTTTTGTCGTTCTAATGAAGATGAAAACCAAAAATAACCAAATTTCAATAATTTATCATGTTCTAAAGTACAAAGATATCGTAAGTTTTTAAGAATGAAGCTCTTCATTCAGTACCTGTCTCAAAATCGGTATAATGCAGCATTTGGTCGGGTTTGGAATTTAGTTAATTTTGTTTCTAATACATTTCAGTAAATGAATAGGTGAAAAGGGGTCGCGATTTATCTGCGGGGTGGGGATACACAAACGAAAGAACTTTTTTACCGAAAAATTACTCGTTGCTTTACTGTTTACAGCATTATTGTCAGTAACAACGCACAACATGCGAAAACCAATTTCTTCCAATTTAATTATTACAGTTTTTATTAAAGAAAAAAGCAGTTCAATATTTGTTTTACTTGATGAACTTAAATGAGCAAGCTCTTTTAAATTCGATCGCATCTAATAATTTAAACGGAAATTAGATCAAACCGTTTTTCCTCGAATGTCGGATCAGTTAACAAAGAAGCGCAAATTGTTTTAATTGTGTTAGGATGAGGCAGTATCAATAAGTTTAAATCTTTTAAATATGTATAACTATGTGGACTAATTGAATTAAAAGTAGAAGTCACAACTAAAGTATCACTGGAATATCGACATCAAGCAAGTGAAGAAACTTCACATTTTATCGATTCTATTCTATTGTATATATATTCTGCAATATGCTGCAAAACAGTATTTTTGGTATCGGTAATTACTTTGTCTGTATCGCGTTTATCTATTTCTGTTAACAAAGACTCCGTTTCGTTTGTATTTTTTGATTTGCACTTTTAATTCGGACCAGACCTGTGCGAGTATACTAATTTAAATATTTTCCATCGTCCACAATTTTGAACCAATTTATGGCAAATTATATGAACTGAATACAATCAGAAATCCTTCATACGCACAATAGGTGAAAGACTTTTCATACGCTTTAAAATCAATTTTACTTTGTATACTGCATGCAAAAAAATTCCCGTTCAATATTATTTAACTTTTCATCTCTACTAAGTCGCGAGTGAATATTTGTTGACAGATAAGCAGAACAATTCGGAACTAAAGTAGATACTGCTCCCGGCTTCAATTTAGGATATTTCAAATTTATTACAACAATTTTACCTATTTTGGAATCCTGAGTAGTTGAAACGCGGAGTACAGTATCTTTCACAAAATGTAAGTCACAAATTTGAATTTTATAATAGTCAGATTTTTGTGAGGAATGGGGCGAATCTACCTGTTACACAGGTCGACGTCTGTTGGAAAATCGAAAACAGCTACTTTTGGGTCTTTATCATAATTGCCCCGACACCCCGGAACACAACACCTATGAGGAATTGTATATCCCAAAAATACACACTAAAAACAATTCACAAAATGTAAACTGCTTAGGTACCTATACGTAATGTGGAGCAATAATGGTTCACCGATCAAGCAACAAGTGCATTTCTTATGTATGATAGGTATGTATGCGCGCTGGTCCACATATGCTGACGTCACAGACTACTTTCATACAGCTATTTGGCCCTATTAGTCACGAAGGTAACGGTTATCATCATCCGCCATTTTGGGTATTCCGAACGCTAAGCTATGAGACCGATAAACCACACCGATCCCTAACTCTACACTTTACGAACACTCAACTTGAATAAATTTTTGGTAATCGTATAATAATTTAAAACCTTTGGATGATAGCGACCTTGAGATATGTCACTTCTGGGACCATTCTGAGCAAATAGCACAATATATGCATATACAGTGCGCATGCTTTCATATTGTTTTAGGTGAACATTACATAGAAAGATCAATAACAATTAAAGGTAGCCACGTCGTCAATCGCTACGCCCTTATTGGATACATATGTCCCACCTAAGATGACTAGAAATACGAGTGGAAACTAGAGCCGTAAGAACGTCACTATAACTTGTGCTCGGTGATACGCTGCGCAGTAAGGCAGTGAGCATCTTGTATTGTTGATTGCATACACACGTAGGTCACGTGGCTGTCGGTCATTTGTGAGGGCACTGTATATATAAAGGAAGCATTTGAGCCCCAACAGTGACATATTTTAAGTTCAAGATTATCGGAGGCTTGTAAAATAATAAACTTTTTTCATCGATAACTATAAACTACATGATCTATCTTTACTTACAGTATTCAAATCTTCGATTCGTGTCATAACTCCCATTGCCATTTCTCTTCGATCGGCTGGAGCTTCGGGGCATGGATACAATGTTGCTCTGAAACCTTCACATATTTTCTTCACACGAGTTTTTAACTGGTCTCCTTGGAAGAAAATAATAAAAACGGACTTGTAAACTTGATCACCCTGAAACATTTAAACTTTCTTCATTATTTTAATAAAACAGTAAAATAACTGACATTATTCTTATACAAACAGATTAGCATTTATACAAAACGGATCTAATATATTGTAGCGAGCACGAGCGTGTTTGTGTACGATCGGGCATACGTGTGTGTGAGAGGCTTATCGATTCGCCGACTAGCCGCGGGTGCCGTATTTGTAAATGTGTGTGTCGTACCTGCAATTAACAGTGAAAAGAAAAAGAAACTTTTCCGAACGGTTCGAGAAGGTTCTCGACAGGAAACAAAAGAGTATTTAAAGAAAGAGACGATCGCCGAAAAAAGAGAAGAAATAAATTGACCGTTGTAGAAGTGAATCAAGAAATAAATTGACGCTAATAGAAGTGAAATAAATAGCGCAGTGAATAGTGGTATATCAACAGCAGTGTAAATAAATAGAACAATTCATAACCTAAGTTTATTAACAATTTAATAGTGTTTTTAAGTTCTTTAATAGTTAGTGTAAATAAATAGTTTTGTCGTAATCAGTCTAAAAATTTAATTTTGTTAAACCCACGAACATTACAATAAGTGAATTAACTGTGAATTGAAATTAAAAAAAAAAAACTAAAAAAACAAAACATTTAGAGGTCTAGGTCTTAATTATTTCTGCAACACCTTTTTCGAATCGTAACTATTTAAAAATTCATTTTATGGGCCTCGGATCTTGGACTCTAGACAAACTACCGTCAAATTGGTTTTTACGAGAAGACATATATTTTTAAAAGAATAAGTATATATTGAATCCTCTTGATTTCCTTCAAGTGCTCTAATTTTTTAAAAATCGGCAAATGATGTTTTTTAAGTTTATTAGAGCGTGACACAATAAAAATAATATTAGCCGGCTTCTTAATCCGTTTTTAAAATGTAAAAAAAAAATAACATGAAAAAAGGTTACAAATGTTTTTGAAATTCACACAGAATTTAGAAATGTTCTTCTATTCATTTTCATAATTCTCTTAGGCTACGGATTAACAACGAATTTTATATACTTTATACACTTAAATACTAACCAAATAGGATTAAAATACTGACCAATAAAATGAATGTATTTATACAACTCACCGATGATGGGTCTTCCAATGGCGTTTCGATCTCTGCTTGCCTCAGAAAAACATTCCCTCTGCAGGCTCGCCAAAGCATCCTTTCAAAGGGCGGTATCCTTTCGCGAAGAATAACTCCAGCAACAAAGCTAAAACGTTAATAAATCTCCACCTCCATTCAATAAGAAACCTATTGATGTAATTAAAAATGTATATCTTATAAATGACGACGAGAGCTTGTCATTAAATACCTTCAAAAATTAACAAACGTGAAGCGTTTAAATTTGTAAGATATGATTGATAAAAAACTATACAAAATTAAAATATTTTTCTATTATACTCTACAATTTGTCAGGAAAATTTTATTGTACGGTTATTAGTAACTAATTAC